AATTTAGCCTTCTTTGAAACTCACCAAAATTTTTACCAGCTTGAGGCCGCGGTGAACAATACCCTGGCTGTGTATGAACTCTATAGCTTCAGCTATGTCCTTGGCCCAGCAGAGTACATTTTTCTCCGCGGTTGTTTTTACGGACATACCAGGTATATTTTCAGGATTCTGAAAAATGCGACTCATCAAGTTTTCGTCGCAAATTTCCATGACATGGATCACCCGATATCGATCGCCTTTCTTAAGCAATGCTGTCCCAAAGAACTTGACAATGAAGTGAAAGTCAAGCTTCCTACAAAAAATAAGGTCACATATATGTTAAGTTTTTTTGGATTTCAATGTGCCTGAGTATTTCGACGTTTTTCAACTGCTATGTTATCATACCGCTCTAACAAAATCACCTTAATTTCTATTGTTGTCGAATCAAATTCAATTCTTCTTTAGACAGCCCTTTTCCATTTAGTCACTGCCTCTATATTTATATTTATATTTATTTACATTTTTTTATGTTCAATACTTTTCCTTAAATGCAAGTCAGAAGGAGATTGCGTTTAGTGTGCATGCTTAACATTTAGGCAGCAAGACACTACGGGGAAATGATTTAAATATTGCTTTTTTTTCCAAGGGGGAATATGTTCTTTACTACTAAAAATCCTGCTTGATTGTTTAACGCCTTTTTGATGTGTAAAACACCTTCTTGATCCTTAAATAAAAACATTCACGATACATAAAACAGATGAAACTGAGTTAACAATCTCTTCCAGTGTTAAAAATACAAAGAGTGACTTACTGAAGTATTTCTGTCTTCGAAAGGAAGCCAATCGCGGTGGATTCGTTCAGTTCTTTATTCCACAATTTCACAGCCACCTGGGTTGGCTCTCTTTGTCCTGGTATCCTGAATGTTCCTCGATAAACTGAAGCGGATGCTCCATTTCCAAGAAGTGAACTTTGATCGTCTTCAAACCACTTCAAGTCATTATGGCTTATTTCCAAACTCTGCACTTCTCTAATGAAAAATAGGGCAATCTTTTCTTTTACTCTGACACTCATCTCTTCTAAAGGACCATAGAATTCTTTAATTTCCTTTCCTGAACGAATCTCATCCCTGAGCTGCTGGCACAGCATTCTGTCAGCGTCTATAAACTCACGCAATCGAGATGAAACCTGCGTAAGGTAAACCCGAACATCTTTGAGCTGCTCTTCCACGAACAACCACAGCTGTTGTTCTTTAGCCACATTACAAAGGTACTCACGGGAGGCTTGCACTATGAAACCAAGTTTATCTTTCTCGTATTTTCTTGAATCGATCATATTTGCTACCTTCTTTGTAAGACTCACGGCACCAATGACAGGGACACTGCCAACTAAAACTGCTAAGCCAACTGGAACCCAAATTGGACTTGTCACCCCAATCATAACTTTTTGGGCCGCGCCGAAGTCATTTGAGGTCAGGCAAATATTTGGTCCACCAGTATAATCATCGGCGATGACGGAGTTCTCAAGGTATCGGAAAGGAAGGAAACTCTTGCTTTCATCAAACCGCTGGTGGGAGAGTTGGACCATAAAGGTGCGAGCGCGAGACAACATTTGGTTCTCGTCTTCCCATGCAGCAATCGTGTTCTGAAGTCGCTCCCTGNCGGTATGATATCCTCACGCAGCTTTGTAAGACCCTCTAGTCATAAAAGAACGTACCGCCACTGCCTTTGCAACGTTGCTTTAATATTTTGCAAGGCGCTGGATTTAACAGCATCCATCAGCAACGCAAACTCCTCAACAACTAGTCCACCGTTTGTGGCGTTAGGCGATGAAATGTAAATGATTTGAAAATCTGGGTCTAATTCATGCCATTCTTCTCTGAGTGCCCTGACGACGCGATGTTTCATGGAATCAGCCTCTTGTTCGGATACTTGATCCCAGTTGTTACATAGGAAAAGAGGAATCGTTGACGACATTTCCCTTTGTTGGTCAAAACAAACTTTTCTGCTTTGTTTGCTTGGTTCTTCCACCTAAGGACAAACTATACATGAATTTGAAAATTCCTTCGAGGGTAAAGAAATGATAACGACCACGATAATAGGTTGTGGCACTAGCTAGAATTGAGTTTAGTTCGGTCTGTAATCATACCAGTGATAACTAAATTGAACTGTTTGATAATAAACTGTCCGATAACAACTTGGCAAGTGAATAAGTGGAAAATAGGAGTTTTTTTAAACCAATCACAATCAAAGAAACTGTAGTTTTTATGATTATGTCAACTCGATAAAGGAAAAGTTAATAACTTTAACCGAAGTGGAGGGGAATAGTGGTGGAGATTCATTGAACTGCGAAGCGGCGAGGTTAACTTCCACCACTTTTACCAACACTGCAGTGAACAACTGTTTTGAATTATAACACAAAGATACCAAAAAATTAGAAGTTTCTTTCTATATGTCGACAGTTGGTTGAAAATTAAAGATTTTGTGTGCGATTTTGTCTCATAGGCTACTCGGAGGTGAGTAAATATATCTTATTAGAAGTTTCGTTGTGTAGTATCGCTGAGTATTTTTACGAGCTGTGCCGTATTTTAACAAGCCCGTAGAGCGAGACAGAATACTTACAACGAGTAAAAATACTCAGCGATACTACACGACAAAACGTCTAATTAGAGATTTATTATCCAACATGCGAAATTGTTATTTCAGTATGGCGAATTTGCGAAAATTTGTGGAGTACAAATAACGCGTGATATTTGTACTCGTTTCGTCCGTTATTTGTACTCTACGAAGCACTGTTGGATAATAATACTTACTATCCTCTTCCGAACTGGCGAATCAGCGCGCAAAAGTCATTGCTCACTTGTATGGTATAAACTAATAATTATGATGATAATAATGATGATGATAATATAAACTGTAACTTTAGAAAAGTTACAGTTAATTTAACCAGTAGAAAATAAAGAAAGTTAGAAAAGTTACAGTTAATGTAACTAGTAGAAAATAAAGACAACACAAGATATCTGTGAAAACTGTTAAAACATTCAGCACCAACTAAACCCACCTCAAAAGCACCCAACTTTATTTCAGTTAATGGTAAACACGTTATTGATCGAGTGAAAATAGCGGAGGCATTCAAGGAATACTTTACTTCGATAAATGCAACAACAGTGCCACCTGATCAAGAAAACTTGGCAAACTCACAATCTGAGCTTGATGTCTTTTTACAGGACTTTGTT